TTTAGCTTTTTTCCATTTGCTGCGCCCTCTTTGACTTTATATATCGTTGTCGTTATGTAAGAGTTTCGTAACGTTTCCGATAATCCCTGAGAATTTTGCTTGATAGAGAAATTTGATAGTGTTCTTAGAACATATGAAATGTCAATAAAGCGAAAAGTTCGAGACCTTGTTCGCGAAAATGACTGAAGAACGATGTGACTAACGCTAGAAAATGCAGGAACAGTTAGATAACATCTCATCGGTTATCTTGTAATTCACACAATCTAGAACCTTATACTGAAAGCTATAAGAGCTTTACGTTTAATATTAATATTAACGACTATATAGGTAAAATTTCAATTGATGGTAAGTACATTGGTAAAATTTCAATTGGTGGTAAGTACATAATTCATATTGGAGAAATATATCAGGCTTTATCCTGTACGGACAAGCTCCGCACGAGCAAGTTTAATTTAAATTAGTCCTATACAGACAAGCTCCTCAAGAACAAATATTATTTGGTCCCATACAGACAAGCTCAATAAGAGCAAATATAACTTGATTTCATATGGACAAGCTCTATACGAACAAATATGAGTTAGATCGATACGGACAATTAACCGAAATTAACAATTATAAATAACAGTATTCGTGAACTGTTTTCCTATTGACAGATGCAAAGTTTCATGCAAACAATAATTTTTATATAGAGTAATGAGCTTAAATCCCAAGAAAGTGGTACAATATAGCATTACATTGATAGTGTCTTGTTGTTTACAGTTGTATCATCGAAAGAGGTTGACAATGAAGTTAATAAAGAAGATCAATCCTCATAGACTAATCCATACGATAGAAGCTGGATCTACTTTGGATGCAGGCAACAAGATTTTCTAGGATTTGCTAGAAAATCTTGTCTTATTTTTCAATATCTTGATTAGTCTAGAAGAAATAGTCGAGAGAATTTCGAAAATAAATGAGAGTATCACGAGTTTGTTAAAAGAAAATCTCTATTGCGTCTTTAAGAATGCTGATTTAATTGCACTCAGAGAGATTAAACCTCGTTAGAAGAAGTGGTTTAAAGGCTTACTCGAAGATTAGAAAAATGTTCTTCTAAAGAAATATCCCCGTGAAGAAGATCCGTACACAGAGCCTTCGAGAATTAATTTGGAAATAGTTCCAGTATTGACAGATGTAGCAGTTAAACACGATCAACATTTTGTTAACATACAGAAATGCGTAGATACAACTATTATCTCTCAGAGAATAGCCTTACATATGTTTTTAGAAAATCCAAAAGAAGAAATAATTAACTTTGTTAAACTATTTTTGGGATACTGGTAAATTATCAACAGACATCTTCTTTCAACAATCAGTTGCTAGAAAATCTTTTATTGCACACAGAGAGAACGATTTATTGAATCAAATAAATGTTTCTTTGGAATAGTCCAAACAAATTATTTGATTAACACAACAAAAATATTTCTTTGGGACTAAGCCGCAAATAAATATTTTTGTTACGTCATACAAAATTTTGTTCGATCGATCAAAAAATTCGTTTGAACTATTCCAAAGAAGTATTTATTTGATTCAACCAAATTGTTCTCTCTGTATACCATTAATAGATAGAACTATCAAACCGGTATTAGATGCCACAAAATCGGACCAATGGTTCTACAGAGAAAAATTTGATGAACAAGTTAAGGAAGCTAAATCAATTGGAAGGACTTATAATAATATTAAAAGGGCAGACTAAAAAAAATCCTTATTAAGGGGCAATTTTCTAGACGAAGAAAACTGGAGAGCTCCACTTGCTAAAACTAGACAGGGGCTGGATTTGAGAGGAAGTGAACCATTCGCATCAAACTGAATCAGAACGGGTATCAATCAACGCATCGAATGCTGAATCAGAAACCTTTAAAAAAGTAGACAAGTTTCAAAGCAGGAAGATTACGTTCTTTGCTGAGATCCTGGAGAACTTTAGATGAGTTCGTTTTATAATGTGTGCATTCGGGGTTATTTTATTAAATTTAAAAAACCTTTCTGCTAATTATACACTACTAATGAACCAAAACGGTCCACGAAAGAGCTTGTAAAGATAAGACCTGAAGTTGAAAATTTGATAGCACAAGAGGCAAAAATGCAATAAATATGATAATCAATTAATTTTTTCGTATTTTTTAGTTTTTAAACCTGATGATAGTAATCGTTTCATTTTTAACATAAAGAATTTAAACAAGTAGAATCTCCTTACTTTGAAATAGGAGATATTCGTTCTATGTTCAGAAATCTTTAGATATCAAAGCCTTTTAAGATTTCGATAAACTTAAAAAATATATATTTTCTCATCACAATGAGTAAAAAAAATGTTTAAGATTTATCTTTAATGGTAAAAGAACTTGCATATTAAGGAACACCTCGCCGATGACTTTGACTTTCACATAGTTGTCAAGGACATGTCTGTGAATAATCTTTAAAATGTTTAAATCGGCAGTTGTTGTCTAAGAAAATTATGAACAAAAGAAATTTCATAAATGATAGATATATAAATCGTTGTGTATATATAAGATTGCGATACATATGGGAGCGTTATCTTCATTATTGTGATCATTTTGGTGGCCGTGGTTGTTGCTGCTGTCATAATCAATATTACCATAGTCATCGTCGTTCCAGTCGCTCTTGTAATTATCGCTGTTGCCGTCATCGTTGTGCAATCCTTATCGACGTCACCATGTTCGTCATCGTTGTCGTCGTCGTCGTCGTCATCGTCGTGGTCGCTATTATTGTCATTACCATCACTATCGTATACGTTCCGGCATAAAGGCTTTAACATTTATTAGTCTTAATTTTAAACGAATTTATCGATTACGCGTAATATGTATACTTATTTGTGCATCATGAATATTGATTATTCCGACAGATACGCTTTCTTAAAATAAAATAATTAACAGTTATGATAAATATGTAGACATATTGCGCGTACGAATAACCAAGAAATTCGTTTGAAACTAGACTTAAATATAATATAATTGTTAAAGCTATTATGCCGAATTGTGTGTATATACATTTAATATTTAATATTTTATATTTAATATTTGTATATATATTTAATTTTATGTTGGAAATAAAAGTTCAAAAAGTTCTTCGGAATATTTCCGAGTAAACATAGAATTGACGCAGTTAAGAATTTTCTTACGAATACTTGTGAAGTGTAAAACTTTGTTGGATTATGTTCGTATTTTTAGAAAATTTATCGAAAATTTTTCGTTAATTGCGAGTTCTTTATACGAACTATTTAGAAAAGAAGCGACTTTTAAATTTGGCGAAAAACAGACGCATTTGAGATATTGAAGCGTAGATTAACAGAGGCTTTTCTTCTGTCAATTTATAATCCTAGAGATTCAACCAAACTCCATTATGATACAAATTCATAAAGATTTGAATATTTCTTCAACGAAAAGCAGACAACTGCTTATATCCAATTTCTTATTCTAAAAAAAAAAAAAAAAAAACTGCGGAGGTAGAATTTCGATATTATAACTATGAATTAGAAATTTCAGATATTATTTACGCACTTAAGATATTTTGGATCCATCTGCAAGATATACCGTTTAACCTTTTAAACGTGTTCGTTTCGGCTATACTTTGACCATGTTCTAAAAAGAGAACCAATGGTGAGAACTCACTATTTAATTGACATATATATATGTTATTTTTTTATATCTTTTATTTTAGCATTATATAAAGTTATTTAGTACAATATGTACTGACTTTTTCTAAAATAACTCGAAAAGTCGCGAAGTATCACATTTGTATTTAGAATATAACAAAAACTGTGTGAACTTTGAAACTGCACAAGGTCAAAAAAGACCCAGAGCACGGCTAGAAGGTTAATATAGGTCAAGATAGGATTAACGCTTTGATTATGACGTTAAAGAAAAAGGAAGTAACTTCTCGGACAGCTCGATAGGCACTTGAACTGCAGAACTACGATTACAATATTGAACATCGTCTAGAATAAAAAAAATAACGCTTATATAACGTAAAATAAAAAATAAAATTTTGTTTTATGTGCCTTACGCTATAGAAAATTTATTGTATAAATATCATAATTATTTCAAACACTTTGGCGCGGATAAAACTTATAATCTATTGCGAGAAAGTTATATCCTTTAGATGAATACTAAGATTCGGGCGCATATATAAAAATGTATTTCATGTATAATCTTTCGAAGCTAACATGGAAAGTAGAAGCATTTGTTCATAATATTCCTGAAGGAAAAATACCGTAATTCGTTGTAATTCATGTCGATCATTTCGGCTCAATCAACCGAACCAACGCGATAAACGTGAAAAATATGTATTATAGTGCGTAAATAATATCTGAAGTTTCTAATTCATAGTTATGATATCGGAATTCTACCTTCGCAAAAAATTTTTTTTTGAAGAATAAGAAATTGGATGTAAACGTATTGTCTGCTTTTCGTTTGAGAAATATTCAAATCTTTATGAATTTGTATCATAATGGAGTTTAGTTGGTTCTCTAGGATTATAAATTGACAGAATAGAAACCTCTGTTAATCTACGCTTTGATATCTCAGTAGACACATTCACTAAATATATACAATTATATACGGTTAAGAGGATTATCTCACGAAACGATTAAATGTTTAAAAAATTCTCTTTATATAGGAGGCTGAGAATCCTCACTTCTGCCAGAAAAACAAGTTTTACATCAAGTGAGTTTGAATAATTCATGTTACAAATGAATATTTTGTAAGTGAAAATTGCTACGGGTTCCTCACGGCTTCAACAAGCAAACGAACAGGTAGAGCGCTATAATAGAATATTAGCTCTTGCATTAGATAAATTGTATAACAGTAAGGATTCGCACAAATCTTTATGTGATATCAAGTTTGCAATAAACAACATAGTTAATAGAATAACCGATGAAATTTATAGTAGAATATTATTTGGTGTAGAGCAACGAGGGCAAATCGTCGACGCTGCAAGAGAATATGTAATGGAATTTAGTGATATGGATGGAGATATTGATGACACATACACATATACACACACGTTAGAACTAGAGCGGCCAAGAAAATAGAAAAAATGCAGAAATACAGAGAAGTATGTAAATAATAAACGGAAGGCAGAGTACTAATATAATGAAGGAGACTTCCCAGATAGCATAGAGAATTAAAACAGAATTTAAAAAATTCAGTCGCATGTCATCAATTCTGAGTTTATTTTCAGGTACAAAAAGAATTTTTCAGAGTTTAATTCAGAGAAAATTATTGCCAGCTTATATTCCGTATCGAATATTGCGGCGATTGAGGAACGACCGATACGTGGTAGCGGATGTAAAAGGATGTTCAGATAACATCGCTATACGGGAACGTAGGAAGCTTTAAATATGAAATCTTAATGTCTATCTCAGAAAGGACTAATCGAACATATCAGAAGGGAAAGCCACAAAGTGTGGTTCACCGATTTTGATGAGCTTTGGAATCTTCTTCATAAAAAATAAATAGACATGTATCTTGCTGTTTGTCTAGATACCCACTCGTTTGTGAAGAAATTGAGGTCAAATGTCATGGCGTCGGATCCATTTCGGACTAGGGGATATAGAGCTTCACAAATCAATTAATTTTCAATAATTAACTTATTTGTATATAGCGAATAATAATAAATTCATATTATGAAAATAAAAAAAAAAAAATAGCACGAAGAATTGAACACGAGTTCACGAAACATGAGTTCGACGCTTTAACGAAGTCAACAATATTCATGCTACACCACATGCACATATAATCCTTAATAACTTGAAAAATATAAGTTTGTGACCTCCAAATATATTAGTGAAAATCAGTTTTTGAAGATCTATAGATATCTTCTGGTCCAAAAGAGATCCGACGCTATGACTTCGATTTTTTCGAAAACGGAGGGATATCTAGACAAACGGCGAGATATGTGTCTATTTATTTTCGATAAAGGTCTGTGCCAAAGCCCATAAAAATCGGTGACCCACACTTCGTGGCCTCCCTTTATCAGACTTCCAAACCGGGTAGCGATACAGAAAGCGTTTAATTATATTCTTGTTTTGTACTCTATTTCGTATTATGTAATTTGATGTTGCATTAAATTAAGCGATGCTGGTATGATAATATTAAGCTTTATTGTGAACATATATTCATAAGTTTATTTTTACGTGAATTATTATGACAGTTTTCGTAATACTTATCATTGCGAATTGTCAGTCAAATTTTTCGCGCATGCAATTTACTATTTCGTGTTTCACATCCCCGACTGATTACGCGTTCGCTTCTAGCCTGGCAATCCCGCATAAGTGTAGTCGTTTACGTTTTTATGCTATAGATTATGGTACAGGTATAAACGAAGCTGCAAGTAGTCCAAGTCAACGTCTACGTATCCTATATTGTAATGGAGTGTACGTGCAGAGATATGAATTGCATTTATATAACATTTATTCCTTCCTGCCGTAGCTGCGTAACAATTCACGTTTATGTGTACTGCAATAATTTGTGGAGTTTAGATTGCTATTGCGCTAAATAATATTTATTACCCTTTATGTGAATAAAATTAAGTGGCTCTGCTTAAAATAAAGATATTTTTGTCCGTAATTTCAGAGAAAAAACAATTGCTTTAATATCGCGAAAATAATGTGATAATGCCAGAGAGCACACGACTTTCAATGGACGTCCAATTTTAATTTTTATTTAGTCCCAACGTCCATGGACCTAATATGGATGTTTTTTAATTACGTACATTAGTGGATGTACAAAATATATTGACTTTTGTACGTTTTAAAGATGCTTATTTTATGTATTTCTAAGGAACATATGTTGAGCTCACATATGCCTTCATATTAATAGTATAAGTCGGTTTCACCAACACTAATAAATTTAAATAATCGATTAAATTTATCTTCTCTATTGGAGCAATTGTATCTGTCAAACGATGATGTGATTGGTTAGTTTCATCGAAAAAGTTATTATTACGAGTTTTTGAAAATTACGAACAAATTAATTTGCATTATTAATAAGAAACCAAACTAGCAAAATAATAAAAACATTTAAACATTTAAAAACATTTAAAAAATATTTTCTAAAACGTTAAAAATAATGGTATAAGTTCCCATTTTTCATTAAAAAAAAATTTTTTTTAACGTTTAAAAAAATGTTTTGTTTTTTAATATTTAATAGAATTTTGACATTCATTAAATATTAAAAAAAAATAACATTTTCCCAATCCGTTAAGGAAAACATTTCTTAATGAAAAAAGGGAATTTATCCAGACAGCACACAATATTTATGATAAAGATTCATAAATATTTAGGTCGAATTATTTTTTAAAAATATTACATAAATATTTTATAAATATTTCTATACATAAAGAAAAAAGTATCAAAATCTTTATTCAAAATATTATTAAAATATAGGCTAAATATTTTATACAATTATTTATAGTAAACAAAAAACAAATATTTGTAATATTTTGTAAATATTTCTATAAATAGTATACATAAAAAAATAAATGTAATTATTTATAATTATTAATTTAATGAAAAAATAATAAAATCGAAATTTAAATTGGTAATGTATACTGAAAAATTCTTTAAATAAAAAAAATATATTTTGTTAAATATAATTTCTTAACTTAAAAAAGTATTTGTTAGATTTTAGAAAATAATAAATATAAAGTAATATTTTTTATGTAATATGTAATAAATTTATATAATAAATATAAAGTAATATTTTTTTAAATTTGTGAAATGAGCTATAAAATTATAAATTTCTAGAAAAAAATGTTAAAAACTATGTTTAAATAAATATTTTTATTTTAAAAGTAAATAAGGAACAAGTAAATCATTTTATAAATCTAAATAAATTATTTTATAATATTAAAAATATCTTTTCGTGTTTCAAATTAAAGTTTCTTTTATTATCAGAAAGCAATTTATTTAAATTTACAAAATTATTTATTTATATTTTATTTACTTTTAAAACAAGTAAATATTTTTTAAATATACTTTTTACATACTTTTTAAACATACATTTTACATTTAAAAAGATCTATTCTCTTCTTTTAAATAAATCATTTGTTTACGTACATAGATATACTATATGTATATAATATAAAGCGTCTTTCAGTCAAAGTGACAGTGGCGCGGTAGGTAAGATGAACGACTCAAAAACCAGAGGTGTCTCAAGTTCGAATCTCGGCAATGGTAAGCAAACTTTCGAAGTATAATTTTAACTTGAATTAAATAGCGTATGAAACAATATAAAGTGAAAACTAAGAACATATATATTTTAAAAATTTAAGAAAAGTTTAGAAAAGAGAAAAAGTATATAAATGTATATACTTTAATAAATATTTTTATAAAACTTATAATCTATATATATATATTATTATCTATATATATATATATATATATATATATATATATATATATATATATATATATATATA